GGGGTCTGTGGATTACCTGACACAAAGTCCCAGCTCAGAGAGTAAAGTTACTGGAGGAGCTCGGTGTTTACACTGTAGCCTGTAAGTCGCTGCTGGTCCGTAGGGCTTTGTTTCACCTTGTCCTGGGAGTTTGTAGAAATATTTTTGCCTTCCGGTGTAGGAGGATGCACAATACTTTCCACAAATGATGAAAAGTTCACACATCACAGACTCCCAGGCTAAACAGAAGCCTAAATCATTTCTGACACCGCGGAATCAATTCTTAATACTTTAGGAGCTGAATGTCCATGACACTATTGGTAGTTTCCACGCACATGCGCCCTAGTTGTTTGGGAAAATACATATCGACTCGTTTATGCTGTGCAAAGTATCCAAAGTATGTGGGGGGAAAACTCACCTGTACAAATATATAAAATGTGCAGATGTTTTCTCTGTCTGTTTCTCAGTGACTACAAGGAATTAGGAAAATAATGAATAATAAAGATGGTAGACCTTTATTGTTATTTTTCTTAATTATTAAAAAAATACAGGTTATGTTAACGATTTCAGACTTTTGCCTGGAAATACGCGCTAGAGCAGTTTAGGAGGAAACGGTTCATTTGGGTTAACCGAGTTAAGGTCCAGATGTGGGTGTCTGCGTAAGCTCCAGCAAAACATAGTTTGTCTAATTAAAGAACCAACCAGGCCTTCTGCAGCCGGCGGCAGCGCTGGCCTGCTACACCACGAAAACCACTGTGACCGTGTGTGTGTCAGTGTCAGAGCATTTTCCGATCCACCGCGTTTCCTTGGTCATAAAGGTCGATAACGGGGAAGGCAGAGCCCGCGATGCCCGGTAGGCTCTACGTCCATCCGGACTCTCCCGCCACAGGGGCGCACTGGAGCCGCCAGCTTGTCTCTTTCCAGAAACTCAAACTCACCAACAACCACCTGGACCCCTTTGGACACGTGAGTCTGTCTGCTTAACAGTATTTTTTTTGCTTGTTTGCTTTGTTTCTGTGTCTGTCACAGACAGAACAAGAACACATGCTCTTCTCTGTTTGATACAATAAAAAAGTTTGCCCTTTGAATTTAGTTCCATTATTTTTACTTATAATAAGCATACAAACCATCAGCTGTCCTAATGAAGGTGGCCTGCGGGACAAACTAAATAGCCTTTATACGCATTTTAAATAATTAAACCTGAGAGGTGTTTTCAGTGTAAGAAAAATGACTATACAAAGTACAGCACAGGCCCGGTCAGCCAACAAGGTCTCGGTCAGCAGGCAGGCAAAACCCGAGGAGCCCGTGAAGCTCACTCCTGGGGGTATAACTCACCCGACATCACAACACAACACAAATCACCGCGAGAGCCGCACAGCTCACACTGCACACTTGAGATGAGACACATACGGTTACAAGCGCGTGAGAGCAGATGATAGGCTATCGTTTAGCGCGCGCCTCTTGGTTCCAGTGCATGCGCACGCAGAAAAAAGGAAAAAAGACGAAAGAAAGGACACAACTGTAATATTTTTATACTTAAATAAGTATAAGTAATATAGAGATAATCTGCAAGTTTGCCGTTAAACCGAGAGCCCCCTGCGTAAACAAACGTGGTCTCGCCCAAACGCGCGCAGAGAGGGCCGCCATCCAGCCAAGAACCACTTGTGGAGTTGTCAGTGTCGTGGGAAATAGTTTAGACCGTGCGCAGAATTCACAGTTTTTAATAGTTTAAAGTTACCAGTATGTCCAAACTAAAGCTTAAAGTCTTTAACTATATCAAACGGGAATGAATCAGAAAGTCTAATTAGACATACGCGGAAATAATTTGTTGATGATCAGTGAGTGCTGAACACATTTTTTAAATTCTGCATTATACCAGATGGTTGCTCGGGTGCAATTTATTCAAAAGGCTTTAAATGTCATACAAGTTTAATTAACAAAGATTAATATGTTGATTTAAAATGGGTTTTTTATGTATATTTATTTCCTTTTTTTCTTTACTTTATAGGACAACATGACCTTCATGAATAATTTTTGCGATTTTTCTAACCAATGCAGATGAAAAAAAACCAAAACACTTGCAGGGTTCACATTACTGTGAGAAAATTAGTCTCGGATTGTAACTGTATAAACAAAGATCCTTTATTGTTTTTACTGCTGACATTCACTTTGATCCTACTCACAGGTAATCTCTGTTTTAAACATTTATGTCAGCCAAGGATTCTGGAAATCAAAGTACCTTTACATGGGATTAATCGCCACCTGGATTCTAAAGTCTAGATCCAAGCATCTGCTAGTGATTTTCTGGAAACATGACAGGCCTGTCAGTCTCACCTACATAATATCTCCCCCATGTAGATAATACTCAACTCTATGCACAAATACCAGCCTCGTCTCCATATTGTCAAGGCAGATGAGAACAATGGCTTTGGTTCCAAAAACACAGCTTTCTGCACTCACATCTTCCCCGAGACTGCCTTCATCGCTGTGACATCCTATCAGAACCACAAGGTAAGCCTAATGCAGAGCACACTACGAAGCACTGTTAAACATGGGGAGCCAACTGCGAATGCTGTAGCAAGTACTGGAAGTTTCACAATGTATATGAGTACAGTAGGGGTACTCTAAGTAACACAGATGCATTAGAAGTCCTTATAATGGTATAAGAACCCTTTAATGATGTTTAAACAGTTTAACAATTGTTGATGTGAATATAAAGTGTAGAGTGATTTTACTGGCTGAGCTACAGTATGTTACAGTTATTCAAACAATAATGGAAATGGATTTCATTTTAATATTTGCACGTAAGAGCTGCTCTACTGTCACATCAGTGACAGATGCATGCA